GGGGGGGCAGAGGGACTTCTGTGAAGCCTCCTGTTGTTTTGTGGGAAGCAAAGTACCTATCAAGACACAGCTGAATTACTTAAAATGTGCAACGCACACCCACACACACTCAGACATGCATATATATATTAGCGCCTCTAGTGCAGAACCATGGCACACCTTTTCAAGCACTTCTTTGTTAACATGTGGTTCATTTTGCCCACAACATAGAGCAACATAGACATGGTGGCTTGATATCCAAATAAGCTTATGCTTGAGAAAGAAGTGACCTATTGCACATGTTCTAATGTATCCCCCTTTGTCCTGGGAAGGGAAAGCCCAGTTCTCCCCTGGCTTCAGGAGCCCTGGAAGTGTTCGGGCCCCCCGCCCCCCCGGCTCTGTGCTGCCACCTGTGGGTGTCTGGAGCGGAGCTTCAGGAGGGGCGGGGGAAGCCCACGCCTGTCCTGTGTCGCTCAGCCGTGCCCAGGGCCTGAGCCAGCCGTACGTCTTCCCTGGCAGGTGTTGGCAGAGAGGGACGCGCTGACGTGTGAACGGAAGCCAGCCGTGCTGGTGAAGATTGCCCCAGACCTGACCGCACAAGACAAGGAGGACATTGCCAGCGTTGTGTGTGAGGTGTGGCGGGGGGGGGGGCAGTCGGTGGCCCCTGCCGGCAGCTCAGTTTCCGGGCATAATCTGTGTTCCTCCAGAGCAGTGTGCTTCACACAAGAGGTGAAGTGGCCACGGGCTTTTCTCCCCCAGGTAGGCGTTGACGGGCTTGTGGTCACGAACACCACCGTGAGCCGCCCCGCTACTCTCCGTGGGGCTCTCCGTGACGAAGAGGGAGGCTTGAGTGGGGCGCCCCTGCGCCAGCTCTCCACCCAGACGGTCAGCGACATGTATGCCCTCACGCGAGGTAAAGGGGGAGGAGTGCTTGTGGGGAAGCCGCCAGCCCTAGCGGGGCAGGAACCCCCCTCCGCCAGCAATCTCCCTCTGCCTCCAGGCCGGGTTCCCATCATTGGCGTGGGCGGGGTCTGCAGCGGCCAAGATGCCCTGGAGAAGATCCGCGCAGGAGCCTCCTTGGTGCAGATTTACACTGCCCTGACCTACCGTGGGCCGCCTGTCGTGGGCGCGGTGAAGCGGGAACTGGAGTCCTTGCTGAGGTGCGGAGGCGGAGCTCTGCTGGGTGCGGGGGGGGGGAGATTTATATTGTTTCAAGAGTTGCTTTAATGGTTTTAATTAATTATTACTATTACTTTTTTGTTGCAATGTTATAAGGCCTAAGTGGCAAATTGTGATCCGCCCTGAGCCCATTTGCGGGGAGGGCGGAGTATGAACAGGAAGAAAGAAATAAATAAAAATTTTCTGGGCCAGGCCGGGCCAAAGACCTCAACCCAGATGTGCTTGGATGCAGCTCTGGTTCAGCTGGACGAGTGGTCCTGAGAAGTTAGTGCTGCTCCTACTCTCAGTAGGGTGGAGTCTGTGCCACTGTTCCCTCTAAGCTTACTGTGAGCTAGCACACAGTTTTTTAGCCTCTAGCTCACAGATTTTTGTCTTTGCTCAGGAAGGAGGGCTCCAGAGCAAACTAATTCATGCAGCAGCCAAATCACTTGCTCACAACTTTAATGCTCACAAATTTTTGCTCACAAGGCTCCACAGCTGAGAGGGAACATTGGTCTGTGCATGAGAATCCACCCTGAGGTTGCCTGAACGGGCAAAAGGGTCCCTTCGGACAAAAGGACTGTCCACGTCGCCTCTCCCTCTCAGGCTTGAGCAGCGATCTCCTTGTTCTTCTCTTTCTTATAAACCAAAACAAACCTGTTAGTCTCTTTCTGTTCTCTTCATAAAAGGGTCGCCTTTTTGCATTTGAGGCTGTCTGCTTTCGTGCTCTTACTTCTTGCTTGCTCCCTCCTTCCCTCCCTCCTCCAGCACAGTTATAAGAACCCAAGAAGAGCCCTGCTGGATCAGGCCAACGAGGGTCCAACTAGTCCAGCATCCTGGTTCACACACAGTGCCACGCACTGGCTGCCCTGGAGTGCCAGTGAGCAGGGCATAGAGACCTAGGCCCTTCCCAATGCTGCTTCCCCACCCTGGCACTCAGAGGTTGACTGCCTCTGCATGTTACTCTCTGTGGCTGGTTGCCACTTATGGATCTCTTCATGGATCTGTTTTAATCCCCTTTCACGGTCATCTGTGCTCATGGCCCTCACAAGATCCTTTCGATCTCTGCTTGGGCTTCTCAAGACCGACTTCTGGAACCCTGACCTGGATAGCCCAGGCAGGCCCGATCTCGTCCCATCTCGGAAGCTAAGCAGGGTCGACTGGCAAGTCCTTGGATGGGAGACCTCCTTGGAATACCAGCAGTCAGGAGGTGGGGGCAGGTTTTATTCAGCCTTCTCTCGGCTGCCTCTGTGTCACTAGAGGGCCGTGCACCACCATTCCCCATGCACTGTGGGCAGCCTGTGCCTAAGCACTGCACCGAAAACCCAGTCCCATGTCTGTTGTCTGTGGCAGTCTCTGTTTTTCTCAGACTGTCTCCCCACCACAATAATGGGATCTACGTGTTTTTTAATGGGTTTCTTTTTTTGGTCCCATTTGAAAAAAGCATGGAACAGTTGAGGATGGGACTGGGGGCTGCTGGTGCAGCCCATCTGGGGCTACTAGGGCATGATCCCGTTATGGGTCAGCTGACCAGTGGAAGGGTCATGGTTTGCCCCAGAGGAGCATCTCCTGGGGTTATCTATAGACACTGAGGGGCCCGGGTGTGTGTGTGTGTGTGTCTCCGCTCTCCAGCACTTCTTAGACCTTCCCGAGGGGGGCGGAGATGGGGATGTGCCAGACTGCCACCTCATGTGAATTTTTTCCCCTTTGCTCAGGGAACAAGGATTCCAAAGCATCAAGGATGCCGTGGGAGCTGATCACTGCCTCTGAGGAATCATTGCGGAGAGCTCGTCCGGCTGCAGTGCCTCTTCGGGAAGGGGGGGTGACATCTTCCTCCAGGGTGTGTCTCTTCCAGTCCCACCAAGCATCATCACTCCCTTAGAAAGGAGGTGGGGTCCGTTTTCCAAGCAAGCGAGGGGACTAGCTGTCCATTCTGGTGGCCTGGCAGTGTGCCCTTTGACCCCGAAGGAGCAAACATAGACACAAACAACAACCCAGCCTGCACTTGGCTTCTTTAACCAGAAAGGACTGTGATGGGAGTTTATGCTGATGCCAGGATGGTAGCCAGAGCCCCTCACCCCCCCCTCCCCCGCTGTGAGCTGTCAGGCCCTGTTGTGAAATGTCTGGGCAGGGAA